TCTCTTTTACAGAAAGAAGTGTTGATCTGTGTGACCTGCGGCTATCTGACATGTTTGACTCACGCTAAAAAACACTGCGAAGCGGCTCGCACAGGGGAGAAACACTCGCTCTTTTTGAATCTCGAAAATTGTCAAATAAGGTGAATAGTCAGCTTTTCCGCAGTTTCATTGTACAGCTATGTAAGAGTTTTGGTAATGACAGGTGAGTTTTAGAAATGTTAAACTCAGCTTTTCAGTGTGTCTAGCAATATTTGCCTCATTCTGTATGCTGCTGTAGTGCTATATTGCAAGGTTTCAGATGCGAAGCATGTGCTACCCCGCTATCTGTTTTAGATGATCCTCAAGATCCTGTTAAATTATTTTGCAATGAATATAGGTAATGCATGATTCGCATCATCTTCTTACTACTCTTCTTGATTGAATTTTTTTTCCAGATCTTTTTCGAAATCAAGGTCAGAACCCAAAATTACTCGGAAAACTGTTGAGCAGAAGCAAGCAAATGGCCTTTCGCAACCTCAACAGGCAATCTCTTAGCAATTTGTCGCTCTATTTTTCGCTCTCATTCTATTTTACAGGAAGAATCTAACAAGTCAGCGAACGCGTCGAATACGGCTGTCCCTTTAGAAGTATCTCGGACTGATAAAAATATGAATAAGCGATCCAAGGAAGCAACACTCAATGATACCTTTATTCCTGCCAAGGTACTCTTCAGTCTCATTTTCTTTCATTCGCTTAATTTGTTTGCGCATACGGACATCAGAATTTTCGTTAAGGGTCTTGCCAATCTTGGAAACACCTGCTTTTTCAACAGTGTTATGCAGTGTATGATGCATACACATCAGCTTACGGATTATTTTAATCGTTTTGGAAAAGTTACTACCTTGGATTTTCGACAAACACAAACCGTAGTCGTTAATGAGGAAAAGGTCAACTTGGAGGTATATATTATATATCGCATTATCGTACCAGATTTCTGAATGACTTTTTCAGCCTGCCGCCATCTCTGTCCCTCTCGAGTCAGCACCCCTCAACTCGGTTTTACGAGGGTTCATTGCCGAATTCCAATGTGGTGCTTCGCCCTCTCCAGGATCCGTTTTCTCACAAATTTCGTGCAAAACACCGCGTTTCAAAGGTTGTCAACAGCAGGACGCGCACGAGCTGCTTAGGTTTGTGTAGCAAGAACATCCAACTTCCTTTATTGGTGGCAGTCGCAGTGATTCAGTCCTTTTCGAGATCCAACCATAAAGTTTACAGATATCTGCTTGACGGATTGAGGAGCGAGGAAATGGAGCGGTATAAGGCTGGAATTGCGTCTTACTTCGGTGTCTCTCCTAAGATAAGCAGAAATAAGGTGGATTCCGAAACTGTCAAGTTAGCTAAGGGTAGGGTATCATACATTCTGTGTGTTATCGGTAGCCTGAAAGCATGCTAAATTTGGCTTAGGCTATCTTCAAGCAGCTGGACGTCCACTCCTTGATATGGTTTTTGGTGGCACTCTTCTCCAGACGATTCTATGCTCGGAATGCGGTCATGTCAGCGAGCGTCATGAACAGGTTGAGTTCACTAATCTGTCATGAAGCAGCAAACTCAATACTCTGGCTACTTAGATAAAAGCATTGTTGATAATTAGCGATCTTACTTAGAGTTGGTAAGGGAGGCGCTTACTTTCGGCGGTAAAGATTCCTATTGTTGTTCGCAGTCACTTCATTTAACAAGCAGTGGAAGAGGTCTGCGCTTGAATAGGCATAAATTAATTGAAGGCACCATCCAGGCAAATCTGGACATATGGGGACCTTACGTGAAA